CTGTGCCTGTGGGAGGAATTTCTCATGCCACCTTTACTCAGCAATATTATACCTAGAACTTCATCCTGAACCCTTCCTAAGCTGAGACCTTTTCTTTCTCTCATTTATCTTTTATTTCTTAAATATTGTTGTGAATCATTAATTCCATATTGCCCTGCCTGGGATTTTACAAGCCCTGATATAGATACGACACAGGTGTGTTCATGTCATAAAGTATGTCTTACATTACAATGTGAATGGAACCAGTATGGATATATCTTTAAATGGGACACCGTCACAGAAAGTCTACTTTCTCTTTTTCCTCTCATTATACTCTCTATTTCAAAATCATCTACGCAGGGCTTTAGCACGTGTGTAGCTATGCCAATGCAGACCTCTGTCATTTGAAACCAGCTTACAGCACTCCACTCCAAATAACTTTTAATGCTGAAACAGTACATTGCTAGCAGGGATTTGCAGAACCCAGGGCAGCACCAATGCAACTATTTCTGGTGTGTGAAAGCTCAAGGGAGTTAAACCCTGAAGCAGGCTGGGGGAAATCTGAAAGAATGAAAGCAGAGGGCAAATGTAGCATTCCTTGTGTACACCAAGTGAAAGGAATGGGTATCTGGGGTACACACAAGCCACTCAGAGTTGTTCTGGTCTTCTCTTTTTGTTTGGTTTTGTTTTGTGCTGGTGCAATGCGCAAATATAGCAAAATATGTTAATAGTAAGCCATAATATTTACAGTTATTGTTAGTATCCATTGAAATCAGTGGGATTTTGTCTAATGCCTTTACCCTGGAGATAATCCATAGAATAGAACATTAATGCATAGTTAAAAAGAAAAATTATGGAAAACAGCACCTCTGCATATGCAATATCTTCATTTTAAAGTTACATAATTGAGCTTTTGAAATTAAACAAAAATATAGCAAACAGCCTCAGACCGCAACAGCAACTAAGTGACTCTAACATTGTCTTTTAAAACTTGCCTCTTTACTAAAATAAAAAATACCATCCTAAACCAATACAAAATAAAATAAAATAGTTCTCAGCCCAATGCAAATCCAAATGAGCTTTAAGACCTCCAGGCAAATGTAATTTTTAGAAAATCTCTTCCAAGAGTTTTAAGAGTTTGTTTTGCAGCAGATATCTTGTAGAGAAAACACGGGCCAGTAATTTAAAGGCGGTGCTTAGATTCTTTATGTCATGCTAGACAAGTACTGTTTCTATGCCTTGTTTTCACTGTTGGTGACATGGTTAAAGAAAGACTTTAATGCCACTTTAATGCAGAATGTTTGTAAATTGCGCCTATGTCTTTTGATGGAAGGAACTAACATGGATTATTAGCTGTTATTCTAATTGTAATTCTCAAAGTGAGTTTTCCAGCTAATGCATGGGCTCAAAATCTGAAGCCCTTCCATAGGCAGAGCTTCTACTGAGAGTTTCACTAATAAAAACCAGCAGGATTTGGGCCATTTAGACTTAATCTGCTAAATTCAACCCTGTGGCATTTCCCTGACACTCGATGAAGGGTACTGGGGATTGGCAAAGGTAGTATTTCTGATAAAGAAGGGAAGGAAAATTTATACGCACAGGATTTGACAATACTTTGGGATGGTCCCTTAAGACAAGAGGCTGCCTTGTAAGGGTGATCTAAGCTATGCTAATTTGGTAACCTGTATTTTTGAAGCAAAACATTCCATGATGAATGACCTTATTTTTTTGTTTTTAAAGCTATGAGGCGCTTATGCAATAGACTCCTAAGGTAGAAAGAGACAGATGCCGCAGAATAATAATCAGCCTAATTCTTGCTGAGAATCTCTGCAAAAATCTTTCTCCTTGCCTCTCCTTTCATAGGTAAGCTCAGTGCTACCTTTCTCACACAACAACATGCAGCAGCAATTAGTGGGCCTCTGCATAACTCAGGAATTCTTCCCTTTCCAGAGATGGGCTTAGGTTTTGTTCTCTTTTAAAATGTTGTGGTTTTTTTTTAAAAAAAAAAAAAGGGTTTTAAAAAAAAGAAAACATCAGTTTTCTGATAAAAGCAAACAACGAAAATAGGACTGAACTTTTCTTTAAAATCATAGGGATGCTTCAGTTGGTTTTTTCCTTCCGAGTACCTTGCAGAAGCCTGCTCCAGTTGACACGAACTGTCACATGTGTACAAAAGCTCAGGTCTTCACTTCTATCTAGGGCTTGATGTGAGCTGGGCTGCAAAAAAACTCAAACCTCAGTCCTGACTCAAAATGAGCAAAATCCCTGGGCTGTGCCTGAGGTAAGAAGGGCCAGCAGAAGTACACTTAAACATGCTGCAAGAACCTCCTGTCTTGTGAGAGGCAGAGGAAATCCCATTACTGGGCAGTAACAGCCAGGCACTGCCCGGGTGCTGCGTTAACCCTTCCTTTCAGCCACTGCACCGTGACACGCTAAAATATCATTTCAGTTCTGTTTAGAGTGGCCATTTTCTGTAATGAACAGTCAGTTCCTATGCTCTCGGCTAAGAGAAAAAAAAATTAGATAACATTGAATTTCAGGGTTTATTATATAGGGAAAAGTATGTTCAGATGTGGGAAGGAAGGAAGAGAGTGCAGATACCTAGTCTGTGTAGGTATTAAAGTCTATGTCCCCTGCTGTCACACAAAAGCAGAAACACAACTCTTAGGTTGGCCAGCTGGATCACAAGGGATATTGGGCATACTGTCAATAGGTGGTGAAAGATCCTCCCACCCCCCACCGGCTCCATCCAAGTTGTCTTTAAGTTAGGTTTTGTAGTCTCTTTGATTTCCTTCTAACAGTTGGAGATGAGAGAGGATGAAACACAGTATATACAATCAATGGGGGGAAGAAAAGAACCTGCAGGAGTGAGAAATGTGGACTGTTTTGCATCTCTCATATTTCCTGTTCTATACAAAGATTTTGGTTTGCCTAAGCTATAGAAGGAAACAGAAGCAGTCTATTTTAATCTTCCTGAGTGAAGAGCGCTGCAGGGATTGCTCTGTTATCCCCAGCAGCAGCCCTGACTTTCCATAAAAAGGCTACATCCATCCATCCATCCATCCATCTATCCATCTATCTATATTTCTATCTGAAATATAAATATTATTATATGATAGACCAGTGATCAGCTGTGTTCTTAATGCACTTCTCTTTGTGCATTTTGGTATGAAGAAAAAAATCTACAATTCTTCCCCCAAACCCCACTGCCAAAAAAGCTCAGATAAGAAGGAGGTATTTGGACTTATGCATAGAAACTGATTCTTCAATCTGTGTAATGACGTATGTTAGAAACTGTTCATAAGAAAGGAAAGCCCTTGCCGATATGATGTTTCTAACAGAGTCTTCACTGCAGGGATTCACTATTGAAAAGACAATGAGGCTGATTATGCATTTTTATACGGGTTTCTTACTGTTTTGACTCCAGTGACTTAGACTATGCTATTCTGAATTTACACCAAACAGCATGAGTTCAGGCTGTAGCACTACGTCTTTTTAAAACTCCATCTATTGCATGATGAATAAGGGCCAGATCCTGCAAATGCTTGCTAGCTATATTAATACTCTGAGTAGCCCACTCACTTCCTTTAAGTTGTGATTGCAAAATTGAGTCTTACAGTGCAGTATTTTAGAAGTATGGATCTGCCTTTTGGGATTCAAACGTGCCTTGACTGTACATATTCCTTTAATAGTATTTCTTTTAATAGTAATTTCTCCACTGATTTTCATAGAATCACGTGATAGATGCTTAGCTGTTATGAATGTAACTCTACTTACACCAGCTGAAAATCCAGCTCCATGTTGCAGCTATGCTTGTGTATTCAAAACAAGCATGACGGAGAGGGGTCCCTTTTATTTGAAGTGTCAAATATACAGTGTGCTGTGTACTTCATTCGTTTTGACATTACTATAACCAAACCAATAGAGTTAATTCTAGGAAAGAAATTCCAATCTAGTTTTACTACTTATATTAGCTTCTTTTTTTCCATAAAAGAAGCAACATCAGAAACTATGCTCCTTCTCTTCCTAACTTCACTAACTTCGTCTTTCAACCAGAAAACATTCCCCTGCTTTCAAAGTGCCTAAACAAAGGAAATTACAATACTGAGAGCAGTTGTAATTACCAGCTGGTGAACTGATGGCGTATACTGGATATGTAATCCAAGAAAATGTGACTCTCCAATAGTAGCCTCTTCCACCACCTATAGTGCTGGAATGCTCATCCTTGTTTACTATACATGCATGCACATAGACCATTATCAGTATTCAGTACTAGTAGTCATGCTTTCTTCACTGAAGAGGAAAGACCAGCAAAAAAAATACTTTGTCCTTTTGAAGAGCTGGATCAGTGTCAGGGCCCCCCCCCTAAAAAAAAAAAAAAAAAAAAAAAGACAACAAGACAACCCACACACAAGTGCAATAAGCATCCTAAATGTCAAACATATGTACAGCATCTGTATCTCTGGGAACACATATACATCATGTGCAATATAATGCAGCATACCCTAGACCCCTTACATCAGTGGGGGCAGGAAAATCCCCGTTCATTCGAGGGATGATGGGGTTTTTTTGACAGATACCAGCGACTTCAGGCAAACAGAAGCTGCCACAATGCTGCTGTCCTTTGCAAATCTTCTCCCTGCCTGGGCTAAACCGCACTCATCTTTGATCAAAGACTTATTTATTTATGACAGGCAATGAGGGCACGCTGCTGTGCGTGTGTGAGCACGGCGGGTGAGCAGCCCGAGCGGGTTCAAACGGGCCATGGACACTTGCACGGAAAGATAAAAGCGGTGAACTGGCAGGCAGACGCCTCTTGGAAGCAGCGTCCAGGGCTCCTCCGCGCACTCTGCCTGCTCTCCCTGCGAACGCATCGAGGGAGGGATTCCCCACCCACCCACACGCTGCCTCTCTCTGTGCGAGGCTGCAGGGGGTATAACCCAGTTCCCTCCTGGATCTGGGCCCGGGAAGAGCCCGTTACGCTTCTGTTCCCCCCCCCCTCCCCCGCCGCCCTCACTTACTCCGGTCTCCGGCTCAGGACGCCTTTGCCGATGGCCTGGGGGGTTTTGTGCTGGAGCAGTGCGGTGCAACAGCCCTTCTCCCTGCCGTCCGTCTCCGCGGGGTGCTGGTGGGGCTGGAGAGGGGGGTGCTGGTGGCCGGCAG